GTGTGTGTCTGTGAGTGTGTGTGTGTGTGTGTGTGTGTGTGTGTTTTACCTTCTCTCCAGTGTGCACCATCCGCAGTGAGGATCTCCAGCACTGAGACAGTCTCCACACGAGCTGTACTGCTCACAGGAGGACACACGGACCCGCAGCAGCTGCAGACACACACACACACACACACAGTCATATGTTAAGCTGCACATGTTCACACACACACAACACCTCTCCTGTGTCAGTGAGGGAGTGTGTGTGTTTCCTCAGCTTGACACACAGATGCTCGACTTTGACAGAATACGCTGAGGTGAGATTGATCATGGTGTGCTTTACGTCTCGCCGCTGTGTGTGTTCACATCCACACTTCTGCTTCAGCTACTGAGAACTCAGAGCTTAAATCTCACGAGTTATCTCACAACACTTGAACTGTGTTTGTTAGCATCTTTTTATTGAGTATTCTTCTTTCTGTTGTTGTTCCGGCATGAGCTGCTCATCAACGCTTCATCACGGTGTTTTTGCAGAAATCAAACTGAACGCTGTCGCTCCAGCTCCATGAGCTCAGTGCTATATGCAGCTCATGTCCAGACACCAGGCACACGGGGTCTACTACAGATCTGCTGTACTCACGTGGTGTGAGGTCATCACATACAGGTAGGTGCGGTCACTGGGGTCAAAGGTCATGATGTGGTGAACGGGTTCATTAGCGGGCAGCCTCAGTGACCACTGCTGGGAGACACTGAAGTTGGAGTGCAGAGAGACCTGAAACACACACACACACACACACACACACACACACACACACACACACACACACATTACATGTGGCCTGATGACTGCAGCGTGTGTGTTATGAGCTCAGATGTTCCGCTTCTGATGGTTTATTATGGTCTGTCAGTGTATTCTGCACAGTATTCAGTCTCCTGCTTCTCCTCTAGCTACATTTAAGCTCTTTTGTGTTTCAGCAACACCTCGTTCCACATGAGCAGCCGCGGATGAGGCAGGATAATGATGAGATATGATAATGTGCCATAATTATCATCCTCTGAACGCTGGAGAGAGCAGGAGAAGCTTCTGTGGGTGTGAAGCCTTCTCAGATCAAACACCACCAAATCAGAGACAACGTGATAATTACAAATGCAGACGAGTTTCATCAGCTCTCACACACACACACACGCGCGCGCACACGCACGGGTGAGTGCGCCTGTACTGTACATACAGTATGAGGAGACGCAGAGACAGCAGGACAGACGGATCAGCAGAGCTCCTGCTGCAACTCAATTACACTCCACTAACACACACAGATCCTCAATACGCTTATCTCACATCTCAATCACATTACACACACTGCTAAATCCAGCAGCATGAACACACGCACGCGCACACACACACACAAACACGCACACACATAACACATACGCACACACAGTAATACTGTCGTCTTCCTTCCCACGCCCTGAATAACCCAGAGTCAGTATTAAACAGCAGAGTAATAGACT